CTGAAATTTAAAGTATCAAATCATTCAATTAGTGGCCAATTAATTGAAAGTATTAAGAATAAATAACACAAATAAACATGATTGAGAAATCTCAAAGAAATAACTATAATAAAATGAAATAATGTTTTCAAATTTTGGTTACATCAAACCCTAAATTAGAAGTTTTGTTCATGACATAAGCCATAGAAATAATCAAATTCATATAAAACAATATAGAGAAGAGAATAGAAAAAATGGTTTTGGCAGATTATATTATCATGAAGTCTTGGAAGAGTTAGGGTTGGATCGGGATTTTAAAAAAGACCAAAATATTCAAAATCTTTTTTCTCACTCGGCGGCGCCCCGATGCTGTTGATATTCAGCAATAGTGGCACTGTAGCGCCCACTTTCGGGGTAAAAATCCAACACAATGCATCTTTCAATATTTTTATTATATTTTTTCTCCCAACATCTGATTGAGATGGTTCAAAGTGCGTTGGAAAGATAATTCAAAAGGCTACAACTTTACTTTAGATAACTTTCTCCAATTTTAATATTTACTATGTCAAAAACGGGTCTAAATTTCCAGCTAAAAATCTAGAACATACTAGTGCATTTGAAATTTTATTTGTGAAAATATTTTGATCATATTTCACTCCTTTTTAACTTCTAATTGCATCGGATGGCTTGTAACAATCTTCAATTATCGTTTTGTGGTCCGAAATAAGTATTGAAAAGTTGCAATTGAGTTCTCAAACTTCACCGATTTTCATCATTATTCACTTCTTTCTTTCAATTTAGCCCCCATCATCAAGTTTCACCAAACCAACATCAACTTCTCCATGATTCATGCCAACATCACTTTTTTGTTTAAGTTTTATACCATTCATACTTATTCATCTAACCTATAAAACAACATTAAAACCCACATTAAAAGTCCTAAAAACTCTTGAAGACAATCAAAATAATAAGTTTAAGAGGCAATAAAACAATGAGCGAACCACACTCATCATTGCTCAATCAGTTTCCCATTGAGCTTTTCAGGCTGCCTTTGAGCTGGGGCCTTCAAAATCTACATTCCCAGTTGAGTGTTCCCTGTGGTCACACACCCCATTCTGCTAGTTACATTTTCGTGCAATCTGTCCCTTTGGAATGTTGTTGTGTTTCTTCTTTATAAACATCTCACATAATGGAACTTCTTGCTCATCTTCGTGATGCATATCCTTTGTTCCATCTTTGTCCAAGCTAATAACACTTGAGACAAATGGCTGCTCCACAAGTGTGTACGTTTTTTGGGTTTGAATAGCAACAGCTGGTTTCTTTGGGGCATTAACCATGCTGGGATTACCTTTATTACCTGCAATCCTTTTTTTAAAGATTGCTACCAAGAGTTGTATGGCCAAACATATTGCAAGTCGAGCAAAATTTAGGCTCTTGTTCATAAGAAACAAGCCGATCTCTCGACTTTCCAGTGGCAATTTTATCTTGACTGATCGGACTAACTCCAAAGAAGCATCTATTTCAACAAGAAATCTTGCATACGAAAGTCGACTCTTAGTTGACGTGAGCTTATCGGCAGATATTGGTTTTCCGACTTTGGAAGTAATGTTCCCCAAAGCATTTTGGATTTCAACAATCCAATGGCAACCCCGATAAAGTTATCCACACTGGCATAGCGCTAATCTCCTTATTGTTAAACTCGAACATCTATACATTACTTTCAACATCAGAGGTCTCTCATAGACAAAATAAGGACCACCATCAAGTACCTTGAGTCTATCCTCCTCATTCTCGAACTTTGATGGTGATTTTTTGCGGGAGCTTGTTCCAAAAGTCATCAAAACGGTGATTTCAGAGCTTAGTTTCACGTTACCTTTCTCTACTAAACAACTAATCCAAATGGCTCCAACTCACAACTAATATATTCACTTCGGTTGCTCCTCAATCTCACCCACAAATGACAAGATAACGATGATGATTTGTAGCCACAAAGGCAAGAAGAAAAACAATGCAAGAAGACAAGAGAAGAGAACAAAAATCAAAGGGAAGTCGCTGGTTTTTCTTCTCAATATGGCAACCGACTTTTGCAGAAAGAAGCATTTTTCTTCTTTTTCACACAAATCACATACTCTACGGCTAGGATAAAGACACCATATCTATATATTTATGTATGTTAGGTTAGGTTTTAGTTGGACCAATAAAATGCTTAAATGAGTCAGATTCAAAATCATTCAAGAGGTAATATATATGGGCCGTGAGCAACATTAATTATTTAACCTACTTCTAACGGCCCAAGTTGTATGCTAAATCACTCTGCAAGCAATCAAAACATAAAGTTAATGATTGCATAATCAAAGCTACCAATAAAATTGTGATCATAGAGCTTACCTCTGTTTCGAACCTGAAACACATACCATACTTGCTACATGTACTCACCAGTGTTGAGGTAAAAAGAACCCAAGTAAAAGCAGATAATAACGGTAAACAATCAAAAACAAATATTCATGCGATAAAGATATAATATAGAATAATCCACAAATCTTTTCCAAAATACGTTCATACAAAACAACATATTAACACCAAGTCAATCAATCAAATAATCAAACCACATATGAAACAAATACATAAATGACCACATGAAAAGATCTCACAGCACTTAATCATATCCTAATCCACGTTACTCACACCTCGAAAACACATATCTTCTCTCATCGCCCACCATGCTCAATAAACTAAATACTCAACTCATATCTAATTGGTAGACTTCTATAGATCCTAAGTCATTGGGATAATCATTTATTACCACATCACTTCTCTCAACCTAAGTGAATAATGGGCATTCACCAAACAGAAGTGATAGAAGTGTCTCTCTCATACTCCACTTGATTAGAGGCTCTTCACACGTAGTGCTAATGCATCTTAACCCACTATGCATGCAAATAATTACACCAAAGGTTTGAAGCTCTAAAGGTCTATACTCCAGTTGAACATATCCACATCATTTTCCCCTAAGACCATTTCATCTAGTCGATCTTCAAAGGTTTGAAGCTTTAAACCTTTGTCATGATTTCTGTTATCCTTAAACAAATTAATCCATGTGGCAACCGTCGCTTTTACACGTTCAGCAGCAATTTAAGGTTTTCCAGTTGACATTTCACAATGAAATTCCTCCCATCCTCGTGTTTCGAACCTGAAACACATACCTTACTTGTTACATGTACTCACCAGTGTTGAGGTAAAAAGAACCCAAGTAAAAGCAGATAATAACGGTAAACAATCAAAAACAAATATTCATGCGATAAAGATATAATATAGAATAATCCACAGATCTTTTCCAAAATACGTTCATACAAAACAACATATTAACACCAAGTCAATCAATCAATTGATCAAACCACATATGAAACAAATACATAAATGACCACACGAAAAGATCTCACAACACTTAATCATATCCCAATCCATGTTACTCACACCTCGAAAACACATATCTTCTCTCATCGCCCACCATGCTCAATAAACTAAATACTCAACTCATATCTAATTGGAAGACTTCTATAGATCCTAAGTCATTGGGATAATCCTTTATTACCACATCACTTCTCTCAACCTAAGTGAATAATGGGCATTCACCAAAAAGAAGTGATAGAAGTGTCTCTCTCATACTCCACTTGATTAGTGTCTCTTCACACGTAGTGCTAATCCATTTTAACCCACTATGCATGCAAATAATTACACCGAAGGTTTGAAGCTCTAAAGGTCTATACTCCAGTTGAACATATCCACATCATTTTCCCCTAAGACCATTTCATCTAGTCTATCTTCAAAGGTTTGAAGCTTTAAACCTTTGTCATGATTTCTGTTATCCTTAAACAAATTAATCCATGTGGCAACCGTCGCTTTTACACGTTCAGCAGCAATTTAAGGTTTTCCAGTTCACATTTCACAATGAAATTCCTCCCAAAAAAACCTTTGCAGAAATTTGAGCAGCATTATGTAAAGAGGAAGCTTTAAATTCCTTACCTTATACATGAGCAGCACCATTTGTGGTTTTCGCAGAACAAAATCAGTTGAGGTATTGATATCACTTGCTTGAATTTAATCTCTATGCTTGGTGATAAGTGGGTTTTACACACTTATTAGGCCACAAAACATGGATAATTGTTGGCAAATATATTGGAATATGGCATAATTATATAAAAATTATATTTTGGAGGATAACATTGAACATGGTGGAATTTAGGAAAACTGAGCAAAAAATGACTAATAGAAGAAAATAAAAGTAAGAAAACTCCAGTCACCCTTTAACTGCAAAAGTTGTCATGGCATAAGTTACAGCTTAGAATTATATAAAGACCAAAGCAAAATATACAAAAAGATGATAAAGAATAGACATAAGCTAGCAATGCATGCAACAACTAGCCAAGTTCATTCTGTTCTGCACTATAAAACCAACCCCATCTTTGCTAGCCAGTCTCCTGCAAGCACCCGAGCAAATTTGCCTCTTTACCTTCTACTAAATCAGCTAGGTTTCTTGGAAGAATGTGGAGGAAGTGTTCCAAAAACCCTGTCCCAAAATGTTGATGTGATTCCGAATCCCTTGTTCTGAATTCTAAAGTGATGGTTCATGTGGTATCTCTACATTTGAAAAAATCGAAAAATTCATCAGGCATTAAAAGATTATCAACTATCCTTAACCTTTAAAAAGGACCAAGTTAGTACTCATTCTCTCATTGTAGTTGTATAAACAGTCCCCAAAAACAGAACTCGCACAAATCTCTAAAATGAAAGTTTATGCACCAGCTTGCTACTTTAGATTAACAGTTCAATTTTTCCCGACAGAAATGGGGTTCTTTTTCAAACTAGTTATACCTTGAGATCATGAGATACTCCTTTCAATGGCTTCCCATGGTGCAAGTAGTAATGAGTGCAATCATACATGACATAACCCAACAAGCCACCTCCAAATACACCAGGGGCATAAGATGCAGGTGCTAAAAACTTAATCAGATTCCAAAACTGACATTACAGAAGTAGAATATGAACAAACAGAAAAAGCAATGAACCGAGGATAACATTATCGAAAGAAGACTGCACATACTGGCACAAGTAGAATTAAAGTTGCAGCAGGAGGGAAAACGAGTCGGAGGCCATCCATAGGATGCTTGTGATGGCAGCCATGGATAAGGTAGTGAAGAGTGTTTGCCCTGCATGTAATTTCTGTGATCTCAGTACACGGTCGCTTATTATACGTCATCATGAGAATTAAGTGATTAACAAAATGAGGAAAAGAGAAAAACTGAAGTTTGATGGAGGGAGATAACGAACCAATAGCTCTTTGTTTTTATGTGGAAAAGAAACCGGTGCAAAGAGTACTCCATCAATGTCCACATGAAGAGGCCACCAACCACTGTTGTTGCTAGCTGGAAAGGAGAAAGGCCAATCTTTGCAGATGAAAAAACAGACCAGCATACAACTGGAAGCCAGATGAGAGGAATTACCCACCAAGCAGTGCGTGTTAAGAACTGTTCAAGATGCAGGTAAGAATGCCAATGGTTTAAAATATTGTCAATGGTATTCAGAAACACTCACATCTATGCATAACTTTCTCTAATTTGCATTACCTCTATGATGTCATTCGCGAAAAAACGTGGGGTTTCTTTGCTGACAATAGGTTGGTGAACCCATTCCTCGTAAGCTTCTCCAAGATGGCCGACCTAATAAAAACTTTTAATCATAAGGGAGATGGAACTAATAAGAGAGCGATATATAGAAAAGGGATTCTATTTTCGTCTTTCCATTTTTCATCGTTTGGTTCTTAAGTTACTATTGTCAGTATATCTGCAATAGTTGAACACGAAGCATAGTTTCTGCTAAATTTCACTCAATTGATTAAGCTAGTCTCTTATCTACAATCTCATCATATGTTCTTATTTAGTCGCAACACTTTTTTCCCACGCCATTTCATTGAACAAACAGACTTGTGCAATGAATAAGTACAATGAAGAGGTCAATTTGAGCTTCTGAGATAGCTAGCTCAATTACACGTAATATTATGAACTGAATACCAAAAAAAGACCATGTAGTCGAAAAAGTTCAATGGTAATAACGGAAAATGGGATGATATTAGACCTGAAAAACGAGTGGCTTGTTCAAATCCACTGTAAAAGCCTGGTTGACCATCTTGGCACCTATTGATGTAAAAAGTAAAACTGTAAAGATCTATAATCAAACCAAAAGAAATATTTCAACATATATAGTCATAAATCATTGCGTCAAAATTGGAAGCCTAAATCTTTGTTTCAAGAAGAACTGAATACATGTTATGAGATAAAGATCTTCTTCTATAATAATCTCCAGATTACAAAGTTTGATACCGTTTTTTCCAATTTTTCAGAGAGGAACAATACACGTAATCCAATTTTACATGTTGAGGATCAATTTGTAACGTAATAAGGTTTTATTATACTTCATGAAGAGTAAAACGTCCCTAATGAAATTTATGGGAGTGTAATATCCTTCTAACATATTCTCTCGACTATAAATAAAATTCTCAATATCTTTCATTCCTTGATAATAAAAGAAAATTGCTTACAACCACAAATATTTCGTCCATATATTGGAATCAGCTCCCAATAAAATAAAGAATAATGTTATCTAACACCAATTTATGTGGTATTATGTAGGTTTTAATGAAATTATTTGATTCATTTCATTGAATCTGTAAAATAATATTACTAGTGCTGCCTCCTAGATTGGTGTTAAGCACCAGTTATGCTAAATAGCATTTCTCTAAAATAAAATTGCAATAACCTCATTCATGGATTCAGATTAAAGAATTTAAAATTTGGGAAACATAGCATCAACTCGGCTGCGTTGTCGGTACGTACGTAGCAGATCTTTCACAAGAGATGTGGGAATTTTATGTTGGCAAAATGTAGTTATGCCTTGAAACACAAATAAGAGACGTGAGATTCGACTATGAAAACATAACTAGCCTATTTGGATCTAAATGTAAAAGGAATAGTAAAAAACAAGAAGAAGAAAAATATCTACCTTAGGACAATGCCGGAATGATGTTCAAAGCACTTGGTCTTCCTAGTATTATTCTCTTTTCTTTTCTTTAAATGAATGAAAACGATGGATGAATTTTTATAGTTCTGAACCTCCAAGGTATGTGTCGGAGGGAAAGGGAGAGGATGTGGGCTACTGCTAACTAAAAATATCACAAAATGTTAATGCAAATATAACAACCAATCACTTTAGCGAATGCACAGGGGAGCCATGCAAACTTCTTCTACAAACCTTCCTTCTTGTCACCAATATATTATTATTAATTAATAAATGTCACAATTGGATTTGGAACTTCTGTTCATTTTAGAACATTAGACTGCTTGATGCACATTAAAATGGAAATAATGCATTTTTTTTGTGATGTGATAGCGGATATGTGATTGAAAAAGAAGGAAGGTGAAAAATATTATTTTATTGAAAAATGTGTGATTAAAAATAAGTAGAAGAATCAAAATGAAAATGAGGCTAAAACAGGGGCATATGTTACTTTATAATGTATTTAAAACAAAACTAAAATAAAAATAATACAACGTTGTTGACACACAAAATGTGCAGCCCAATTCAAATGGCCCAAGAAAGGAAATGGCCCAAGAGAAGAAGCCCATTTGGAGAGATTAGGGTAAAAGCCCGATCAAGAATATCATTAAATATGATGAAAGCCAAAAACAAAGGTACGTCGTCGTAAAAGCCTGCAGAACGCCCAGATGTTGAGCGAATGAATACCCTGTAGTCGACCAGAGCTATGCGTCCATTATCGTCCAAACGGTTAAGTCGCCCAAAGTCCCAGTAA